TTTTTGTTTGTATCTGTTTGTATTTGTGTGTATTTGTTTTGTATATGAAAACGGCAGGTGAGATTGGTGTGTTTTGTATTTGTGTCCGTTTGTGTTTGTTTTGTTTATGAATACTACAGGTGAGATTAGGATTTTTTGTTTGTCTGTATTTGTTTGTTTGTATTTGTTTTGTATATGAATACGATTGGTGTGTTTGTTTGTATTTGTTTGTTTATGAATATGACAGGTGAGTTTAGTGTTTTTGTGTCTGTTTGTTTGTTTGCGTTTGTTTTGTATGTGGATACCCCAGGTGAGTTTAGCGTTTTTTTTTGTTTTTGTTTAAGTAAGTGTTTGTTTGTGTGCTTGTGCTTGTTTTATACACGAATAGGCCAGGCTAGGCTTAAAAGGCTTTGTTTGTGCTAGTTTATGTCTTTCCTGTTTGTTTGTTTTGTTTTTGAGTTTAGGTTTTTGTTTGTTCAGGTTTGTTTGTGCGAGGCGAGTTTAGTATTTTATTTTTATTTATTTATTTATCTATTTATTTATTTATTTATTTATTTTGCTCATGAATACGCCGAAAGAGTTTAGGTTTTGTTTTATGTTTCTTGTTTTTCCTTGTTTGTGTTTGTTTGTCTTATTAGTTTAGGTATTGTGTTTTGTGCATTTGTTTAGTTTGTGGATGAATACGCCTGATTAGTTTAGACAATTCACTTTTATTCTCGAAGGCTGTTCCAGTGACAATTCATAGGAAGAAAATGAGGTACCTAAACAGACCACCATTAGTTAAAAGATTATAGTGTTATATGTAATAAATGGCCGTAATATAATTTGAAGTAGCGAAGGGGTGGCGTTAACAGATGTTAATATACGATGATGTTTGTGCGTAGTCATAGGAAGAAAAAAATACATACACACGCACGCACGCACATACGCACGCGCGCGCGCGCGCACACAGACACACACACACACACACACACACACACACACACACACACACACACACACACACACATATGCACGCACGCAAACACACACACACACACTTGGTAACGAGCAAAAGAATATTTAACGGTGTTTCATTGGTTGCTGGTGTTAGGGAAAAGCACTTGTTTGTTTGTTCGACGCCTTACAATACAACTAGCCAATAGGACATTACTGCACACGTATCTTCATATTCGTGTTTCAGTGCTTATTGGTCTGAATTTCTTTGATGGAACATAACAATATTAATGAAGGTTTGATAATTCTTCGTTAGCGGAACGAAGCCGAATAGTAGGGCTAATGAAGAAACATTTATTTGATATATCTTTATACATGTGTGTGGGGTGTACCAGGCAGCTGGATAGTAGGTATTTGTTTTTCTTCATAGGTGAGTTTTCTGTGTGTTTGTTCGTTTGTACGTTTGTTTGTATTTGTGTTTTGATTAGTTTTCTTAAAGGGTGACCACCAAGCTTGTGCACAACTTTGCATTTTTTCATTGCTAAGATACTACTTTTTCAAAAGCAACTTGTTGCAAAAAACAATTCTGTCTAAAAATATAGTTTTGAAGCATTTTTCTACCGAAATATGCGTCGTCTGCTACAGCTTTAACTCAAATATTACCAGTAGCGCCACCAACCCGGAAATGACGTCATGAGCTGTGTTCATTTTCTTTGTCATCGCCGTGAATGCTTGGATGAGAACCTTTTGTGTGATATTTTCGTGTGATATTTTGTATGCAAATGTCCTATTGTCCACCAAATAAGGATATATATACTTAAATATATATATATATATATATATATATATATATATATATATATATATATATATATATATAACACATACATATATATATACATATATATTTATATATATATATATATATATATATATATATATATATATATATATATATACATATAAATTTATATATATATATATATATATATATATATATATATATATATATATATATATATATATAAATATATGTATGTATGTGTATGTATATATATATATATATATATATATATATATATATATATATATATATATATATATATATATATATATATTTATATATTTATATATATATTTATATGTATATATATAACACACACATACATATATATATAAATATATATATATATATATATATATATATATATATATATATATATATATATATGTATGTGTGTGTGTTATGTATATATATATATATGTAATATATATCCTTATTTGGTGGACAATAGTACATTTGCATACAAAATATTACACGAAAGGTTCTCATCCAAGCATTCACGGCGATGACAAAGAAAATGAACACAGCTCATGACGTCATTTCCGGGTTGGTGGCACTACTGGTAATATTTGAGTTAAAGCTGTAGCAGACGACGTTTTAGGCCCAGAATTTGTTCATTCAAAAGGCTATAAATATAAAACGCGTTTTTTTATTCATTTTTTAAAAATCTTTCAATCTGAATATCATACACTTAATTTACATAGTGGTTACTCTTTAACTTCTTTCAATCCAGACACAAATATTCATAAAGATGCAGTCTCCACAATTCGAAAGAGATGTTTAAATTTGGTTTCTCAGTTGATTTCATGTGATTTAGACATGCTTACCACCGAGTTGATATCAGCATTGTGTATTTGCTATTTTTGCCTCAGATCAGGCTTATTCAAGGAACCTTTGCGTACATCTGTTGCAAATATAAAGTTTAGAGTTCAAGTATGCATGTGTTCCAAATATAAAGCTTTAAGATTCGAATATACATCTGTTGCAAATTAAAGATTCGGGTGCAAGGATAAAGCTTACAGACTCTAGTGTACATATGTTGCAAATATGAATAATAAAGATTTAAGTATACAGCTGTTGCAAACATAAATCTTAAAGATTCAAATATACATGTTATACATAAAAATCTTAAAGACTACTTCTCTCCCCCCCCCCTCCATTATCCATCCACTAATCTGTCCCCTCCCTGGACCCTCCCTCCCTCCTTCCCCTCCCCCTCCCCCACCAGCTGAAAATCTCCCTTCGAAGTGCCCCGTCGTCTCCATCACCACCACCTCCAGCAACACCACCCAACTCGGGGTCAACTTCCCCGCGTCCTTCGAAGCCACCTCAGCTTACCTGGATCTCCGGTTGGAAGGTGAGGCCAAGGAGCTCGGCTGGGAGGCTGTGCGGGTGCAGGAGACAGTCACCTTCGAAGTGACTCACGAAGGGCAGCTCCTCCCCGATGGACAAAAGGTCTTGCTCGTGTTCTCGGCCGTAGATGACAATGCGTCGAAGTACTGTGTTGGGGAGGCAGTCGTGACGCTGCAAGGTGAGCAAACGGGTCGGAAACATGTTTGCATGTTTTGCTCGAAACGTCATATATTGTCTTTCGCTTTTGTTATATTTACTCCTGCCTTCCTTTCTTCTCTCCCTCCCTCCTTCCTTTCTTCTCTCCCTCTCTCCTTCCTTCTCCCCCTTTCCCTCTCCTTCCCTTCCTTCCTCTCCCTCCCCCTTCTCCTCCCTCCCTCCTTCCTTCTCCCCCTTCTCCTTCTCCCTCCCCCTCTCTCTCTTACTCCCGTCCCTACTCAAACATCCCTCTCTCACGCCCACAGCCCTGGACGCCCGTCTGTCGTGGGTGGGCACTGAGTACGACCCAGAGGAGTCGTCCCTCCGCGTTGATACTGGATCCCTCGAAGAAGTTGTCGTAAAAGAAGGAGTTGTTTGCATGAAGGAAAAAAGCCCATGTTATTTTCTCCACGACAAACTGCCTGAGACTGTTCTTCGGTGCGGGACTTTAAGCACTGAGGACGGCCAGACGATTAGCCAGTGTGAGGTGTATGTCAGTCCGTTCCAAGGTGAGTGGGTGGGTGGAGGGAGGGAGGCAGGGAGGGAGGGAGGATGAAGGGATGGGTGGGTGGGGTAGATGGGTGGAGGGAGTGAAGGAAGGAGGGAGGATAGAGGGGTGTGTGGGTAGGTCATACATCATGGATGAGAGGGAGGGAGAAAGGGGGAAAAGAAGGATGCATGGGTGGGTGAGTGGTAGGGAAGGAAGGATGGGTGGATGGGTAGGAGGGAGGGGTGGGAGAAGGTAGGGAGAAAGGGGGGGGGGAGGGAGGGATGGGTGGGTGGATTAATGGTAGGACGCTTGGAAGGCATTTCTTTGTTTTTCTTCGTTATATACCGTGTGCTTTTTTATATGTATGGCTTTTCCTGACCCTCTCTCTCTCCCTCCGTTTCTCACTCTCTCATTCTCTCCCTTTTTCCGTCTGTTTGTGCATTTTTTTCACTATTTGTATTATCATTATTGTCATTATCACTGTCAGAATCTTCGTTAGGATCACCACCACCACCCTAACCATCACCATCACCCCCCCCACCACCATCATAACTCACGACCTTACCCCTCTCCCCCCCAAAAGTCCTTCCCGAAACCCCCATCTTGGACCTGTACGACCTGAAGGAGATACGACTCGCCTCCTCCACCGCCTTCCCGAGGGCAGAGCTGGTTGTCTTTCGCCTCGACACGAACGCCATCTTGTCTCCCGACGACTACGCGTGCACGGAGGGTCGTGCGAAGTCGTGCTCGCAGCAGGTGGCCATTCCCTACGACCTGAAGATGTTTGAGGTCGTGGTCGTGATGCTGGACGAGGAGGACGACGTCGAGGGGTCGTTCGCGCTGCCCTTCCAAGGTGGGCGGAATTGGGTCGTTGCTCGTGGCTCTCTGGGAGGGGCGTGGTCTCTGGGAGGGAGGGGCGTGGTCTCTGGGAGGGGCGTAGTCTCGTGTGTATGCTGATGAATGGATGAATAAGAGAATGAATAGATAAATGTATATATTTATCTATTTATTCATTTATGTGTTGATTTATCTGTATATTTATAAATGTATGTGTATTAATTATATATGTATATATATATTGTGTGTGTGTGTGTGTAAATATATATGTATATAAAGAGAGAGACAGAAAGAGAGAGAGAGAGAGAGAGAGAGAGAGAGAGAGAGAGAGAGAGAGAGAGAGAGAGAGAGAGTGAGAGAGAAGAAAAAAGAAAAAAAGATATCCCTCCCTCCCTTCCCCTCCCCCTCCCTTCACCCACCTCTCGTTCCTCCCCAACAGTATACAAGGCGGACGTCGACCAGCTAAGCCTCGATGTCTTCCGCGTTAGCCTGGGCAGCTGGAACCCCACCGGAGGCTACGTAATAAAGCTAAACGGAGAAGCTAATGTCCAGTGCGAGGATAACACACCGGGCGAGCCACTGTGTCAGGCTTCCTTCTGTCGTGTGAAGGAGACTGATGAAGTCACCATTAAGAAAACTGCAGACACGAACAGCGTTACGTATCCTGTGGTGCATGGAGGTCGGTGTGCGGGGCTGTTTGGAGGCATAGTGTTGTTGTCAGGATAAAAGAGGTGGTTATATTATTATTATTTCATTACTACAAAACAAGAACAGCAGATGGTAGTCGGACTGCAACTACCACTATTACTACTACTACTACTACTAGTAATAGTAATAATAATAATGATAACAATAATAATAATAATGATAATAATAATAATAATAATAATAATAATAATAATACCTCTACTACTACTATTGCTATTAGTACTACAGCTATTACTACGACTTCTGGTACTACTACCGCTACGACTACTACTACTACTACTATTACTATTACTACTATTATTAAGATAAACATAAAGAAGATGAAATAATAAATTGATCCATCTTAAAAAACAACTAATATATATATATATATATATATATATATATATATATATATATATATATATATATATATATATCTGTGTGTGTGTGTGTGTGTGAGTATAGTATACATATGTATGATATATATATATATATATATATATATATATATATATATATATATATATATATATATATATATATAGACACTAATTCTCTCTCTGTTTCTCCCCAGAAACACCTCTAAAATCAGTCATCAGCAGCGTCACGTCCCTCAGCCACAGCCCTGCAGGGGAGGTGCGCGTGCGGGTCACGGGCAGCAGCGGCGTCCAGAGTGCCGAGTACGTTACTTTCGCCTCCAACGTCGCTACGACCTCCGAGGGTTACGATCTTGCGAATGCGACGTCGGAATACAGCTTGGACGTCCCTTCACGCGGGGAGGGTCAGTGGGACTTCGTTGTTCTCGGGTATGACGAGAATGGGACGCTGCTCGAAGTAGGGCAGGCTTATGTCGCCATTCAGGGTAGGTGTTCTAAGTCTGTCTGTCTGTGTTTCTGTTCCTGTCTCTCTTTCTCTCCCTCTCTCTCTTTCTCTCTTAAGCTCTCTCTTTCTCTCTTTCTCTCTCTCTCTCTCTCTCTCTCTCTCTCTCTCTCTCTCTCTCTCTCTCTCTCTCTCTCTCTCTCTCTCCTCTCCTCTCCTCTCCTCTCCTCTCCCTCTCTCTCTCCCCTCTCCCTCTCCTCTCTCTCTCTCTCTCTCTCTCTCTCTCTCTCTTCTCTCTCTCTCTCTCTCTCTCTCTCTCCCCTCTCTCTCTCCCTCTCCCTCTTCCTCTCCCTCTTCCTCTTCCTCTCTCTCTCTCTCTCTCTCTCTCTCTCTCTCTCTCTCTCTCTCTCTCTCTCTCTCTCTCTCTCTCTCTCTCTCTCTCTCTCTCGCTCTCTCACTACATACATTCATGCAATATATATAAATTATGCATAATAAAACCGTTGGCAATAAGTCAAGAAAAAAAACACCGGCGACAGAATTAAATTCATATATAATTCAGTTTACCTTTTAATTCCTGACTAGATTTCACCAAAATTCCCAGTCACCTCTCCTTGTACACCTTCCCAGACCTGCAGTTAAGGGGAGCAGCCTCTACTTCTCACTTGCAGAAGATAGTAGACTTTTTTCTTATATGAAGGTATGCGCGTCCAAAGGGAGTCTCAGATCAGATTTGTCAATTTAAACCTTCATTTATAACATGAACTTCGATATATCCATCTTAATGCACTCTGTCTCATGAGTGCTGTGCATTAAACTGAAGATATCGATGTTTATATTATAGGCGAATACTTAAATTTACAAAATGTCTAATGAACGCAAGAGGTCTGAGAAATAAACCCTGTTGACGCGCGTACCCTCATAAATACACGTGCTCTCATACATACACGAACTCTCATAAATACACTTACTCTCATAAATACACGAACTCTCATAAATACACGTACTCTCATAAATACACGTACTTTCATAAATACACGTACCCTCATAAATACACGTACTCTCATACATACTCTGCTTGCTTTTCTTCCTCGTTCTCTAGCCCTGGACGCCGCGGTGGACGAGGTGTGGAAGGAGAACGCCATAACGTCCTTCAGATTAGCCACAGGCACGCTTCAGGAGGTCGTGTTAGAGGACGCGGGTTCTTGCCAGGCGACAGAAAGCCCTTGCTACTTTCTCGAGGTGTCCAAGGAGCCTGTCGTCCGGGCCCACTGCATCGACATCGTCAATAACGCGGAAGGAGAGGGAGAGAGGGCGTCGGTGGTGCAACAGTGTGATGACTCCACGGGGACGTTCAACTGTAAGTGTCTGGTGCTTCCTCTGCCCTTGTGACTGTGTCCAGTCTTTCTTGGTTTCTCTTTTTCTCTTGATTTATTCGTCTTTCGTTGCTCCTTTCTCTCACTGTCTCTCTCTGTCTCTCTCTCTGCCTCTCTCTCTGCCTCTCTCTCTCTCTCTCTCTCACTCTCTCTCTCTCTCTCTCTCTCTCTCTCTCTCTCTTTCTCTCTATTTATATATATATATATATATATATATATATATATATATATATATATATATATATATATATACATATATATATATATATATACATATATATATATATATCATAAAAGTAATAGCAATGATAATGGAAACAATGATGCCGATGATAATGGTAAGGATATGATAATAATGATAATGATAATAATAATAATATGGTAATAATAACAATGTTAATGATAATGGTGATGGAGATGATGATGCAAATGATGAATATGATAATGATAATAGTAGTAATGATGATGATAGTAATAATGATAATATTAATAGTAACAGTGATAGTAATAATAATAATAATAATAGTGATAATGATAATAGTAATGATATAAAGAACAACAAAGATGATAATAATAATAATAACATGGTAAGAATAATAAGACTAATAGTGATAATAATAATCATGATAATATTAATAACAGTAGACAAATTCATACTACTACTACTTTACACTCCCCCCCTCCCTCCCCCCCAGCGCTTCAGGGTAACTTCAGCCTCACACAGGAAGGAGACAAGATGGTCGTCAGCGGGGACTTCCCTGGCAACGCGGCGGTGGAAATCACGATCTACGACCCCGCCGCTCCCACGGACATCCTTTCTGAAGGCGTGGCTTCGTGTGAGGAGAAGGAGGAGGGGAGGAAAAAGGAGGAGAACGAGGTCGCCTTCAGGTCTTCAGCGAGGATCTGTTCCCAGGACTTCAGATCCCCGAAGGACAGTCGTTCTCTGCGGGTGCTGGTCGTGGCTCTGGACGCCGACGGGGTGGCGGTGGAGGGGGGGCAGCTCCTAGCATTCGATTGTAAGTTTTAGTAGGGTTAGTAAGTAAGATTTTCAATGTAAGATCTTTAGTGAGATCTAAAATTAAGACTTTGAACGTAAGTTTTCATTAAGTAAGATTTTAGTTTTTCAGCAACTGAGGGTTAATAGATAAGAATTTGAATGGAAGATTTGCAATAAGATCTAATAAGTTTCTCAGTAAGTAAGATCTGATAAGTAAGATTTTGATTGTTTTCAAATGTTTGATTTTGAATTGAAGTTTTCCAATAATTAAGATTTTCAAAGTGTCTTTCAGTTAGTAAGATTTGCAAAGTAATTTTTTTTCTGCAACATTCGACGAGTAAGATTCTGATTTAAAATTTTCGACAAAGTAATATTTAATAAGTAGGATTTTGAATGTAAGTACAGTAGAAGGGTTGACTTGGATGTTACTGTATGTTTTTCTAAATATATATATATATATATATATATATATATATATATATATATATATATATATAAATATATATATATATATATATTATATATTGATAAACAGGTAACTAGATAGATGGATAGAGAGATCCATAGGTAGATAGACAAATAGTTACTTAAATGAGACAGGTTGCATACATGGACGTAGAAGATAGATGTATAGATACTGGTATAGAAATATATAGGCATATACATGTATATGAATATATAGATACAGTCTAGATAAATAGATATAAAATGTTAGTGTGTGTATATATAGAGAGACATATAGACAGAATGTATATATATATATATATATATATATATATATATATATATATATATATATATACATATATATATATACATATAAATATGTCTCTATGTTTACACATATATATATATATATATATATATATATATATATATATATATATATATATATATATATATTAGTTAACTTAACTTAACTTAAGTGTTTCTTAATTTGTCTTCAGTCTTCAAAGCTATCACTGGAAGAATATGTACAATTTTAATAATTCCGGGCTCCCCAAATAGGCATAGCCCGGGCGAGGCTCTGCTTCGCGAATCTTAAAAAAATAAATAAATAAATAAAATAAAATAAAATAATAATAATAATACAATTTTAATACGCCTATATTAACATTTATATCAAAAATAATTCAACACACTTGGAGCATTGCTGTTATATTTTCCAATATATTAATGCAGGTGGAAATAGAGGTAATATATTTATAACGTACGTAATACCATTCACACTGGGTAAGTTTTCAAAAGGTTGTAATACTAATTCCATTTAATAAAACCAAACAAAAGTATATGATACAGATAGATCCTGTATCCTTATTTATCTAATCAACGGAATAAACAAACACATGATTGTTTATTTAATTACTTATTTCATTTTAACTACGTATAAATTACTTCACAGATACGGAAACCGGAACAGCTGTTTGGGTTATAGTCGTTTCTGTCCTGGTGTCTCTTCTCGTTGTCGCACTCGTTGGCTTCGGCAGCGTCTTCATTGTGTAAGTTTAACCTTGATCGTAATGAATAAATAGATTAATTAGTTGTAAATAAACAACCTTGATTGCAATGAATGAATAAGTAAGTAAGTAACAGAGATGTGCTAAATGTATTCTGTCAATAGTTGATCATTGTAAGTAATGAATTATTCGAGGGATGATGCTGTGTAGCCTTGTTATGTAGGGAAATGTCTTTATGGAGCGAATTATAACATGTCCTCATAAACTTCAACGTGCTAATGAAGTGGGTAAGGTACATATAAGACAGGTAGCACCTTTTCCATTTAGCCATTTGAACCCCGAAAAGAAATTATTTTTTTTCCCTAAATGATTCTGATAACTGTTTATAATCGGAACACTTCGATACCCTAGATTATTGAGTGGAATTTTTGTTTTACTTCGGCTAGCTTTGATAATATTGAGTAAATTATACAAATAATTGCGTATCAAGCCATATATGATATCTTTAGGCGCATCTTCATTGGCTAAGTGCGATGACATAAATTGTTTTTTTGTTTTTTTTCTTCAATCAATTTGTGTAATCTTTTACAATAAAGATTTCTTCAGTGGTTCAGTAATGACAATGAGGAAAAAGAGAAAATAATAATAATCGGAAAACAAACAATAATAATAATAGTAATAATAATTATAATAATAATGTCTATAATGAATAAGGGTGAAGAGGCGGTTCTTAGCTCGTCAGTTGCCAGCCAGGATTTTCATCGAGACTTGATTACATTGTACCAAAACATACATAGTCAAGAAAACTGATTATGTAATTTTCCATTTAATTTCTTTTTTAGCATATCGAGTATTAATCAAAATGCTAAAAATAACTGCATTCCGCCTAATCTCAGGGAAGGAAAAGCAAGCAACTCAACTGCCAGGTTTCTTGAAAAAAATATATATATACTAATAATACTCATATTAATAACAGAATATACAATGATAAGCGTATTATCTATGTTTTTTGTTTTTTTTAATGTGTAAATATAAGCATATAAGGTCTCCGACTTGGCAAATCGGAGACAAGTTGCCAGTTTGTTATTTCCAGAAATTAGACGCACTAGATTTTTTAAAAATAATAATAATGATGATGTTGATATGCTGTATCAGTTGCACCAATCAACTTACTGAAACGAAAACTCCCCAACTTTAATAATCCACAGAAAGAAGAAGAAAAAGGAGAAGATCCACGACGAAAACAGCAGTGTGAGTGAAGTAAGTTTGCATTCGCTTGATCTCCGACCCTGGGAACACGAACACAGATGGCGTAGCAAGCGGGAGCCAGAGCCAAGTGTACGGATGCGTTTGTGTGGCTTGCTTCTTGTACTTTTTTTGTAGTAATATTTCCCGTAGGAGTTATGAAATGGGTTGAATATTTTCATTATGCAAGGTAGGAAATTGGTGTTTCGGTTTGTAGAGCTTTCAAGGCGCAATGTCGAAATACCGATTTGTTATCTTGAATTTTGGGAATATTCATCCTCGTTCATAGCTCTTTCAATTTTTGTAAAAAAAAAAATGCTTGTATTTTATTTTGGTTATTGTGCTTATATTTTTGCATCGTTTTGTTGATGGTAATGCACGTTTGTATGAATACAAAGACATTAACATATTGCCTCGCGAAATACAAATACATTCCTACGCATAAACGGACGCCCATTTACACACATAAATAAGTATATAAATAACATTACATATACACGCACACAAAACATAAACGTACATATACAGAACATCTACATAAACATATCAACCACACAAACATAACATATACCCAGGGCCGGATTATCACTTGTGTTGAAATACAGTAAAATAGTGGTATTTAAAGAATATTTTTATTGACAAACAAAAGATAGCTATGCTAGTTTATTTAAAGAATTTGCAATAAGTTTGCTTCAAGCTATGTAAATGTCGCTAAAATATATCACGAGCAAAAAATATTCTGAGGGGGCCCCATAATTTCATTAGCCTAGGGGCCCCAAATGGTCATAATCTGGCCCTGCATATACCTATTTCCATAACATACAAACACACCTAGCATACACGGATGTATAACATACACATAAACATACACATTTACCTAGCATACACAGAGAAATATGAACACATACACAGCCGACCATCAACCAAACACACATCTATACATAACATAAATAAAAGTAACATACATAAAACACATATAAAATATACACGTAGACACATCATCCACATAAAGATAACATATCCAGGGACACAACACGGATAAACCTATAAACTCAGCTTGCACTTACATATAAAATCCAACGCATTTATATGTACAAAAAGAATATAAGCTTACCTTACACATATAATAAACAAAAAACACAATCATATACAACAAACAGAAATGAATCATAAATCCACAGAAACGAATGAGAAATACATGCTTATTTTTCCCATAACAACAGGCTTGCTTTAAACGTGCTTTTATAAACTTTTATAGGCCATGTTCGACCCAACAAGAACT